CATCTTGACTGAACAAAGAGCAAAGGGCCTCTTTCTCCAGTCTTTCTACCAACACCAGAGGGCCAGAAAAGAATCAGACTAAACAAAGCTAGTAAAACTTAATTAAACATCATTAAACAGACTATGTACTTAACAGAATGAAAACATGAAAAGAGCATGTTTTTAGAGCCACTTATGATACATAGTTTCAATTAAATTTACAACTACAGCAAAAAGCTTATTGTTACTGCTGAATTTTGAAGCATGCAACAAGAAAGAAAAGGCATTCATCTTGTGCTGGAACCAATGAAAGCAGACTTACTTTGAGCCTCACTTTCTGAAAATCCAGCACTCTGACCTGGGGAACTTTGTGGATGACATATAATCTGTAATGCTTCTTATTTGTTACAGGATTCCTTAAAATGCTACAAGGTCAAGAAAGGTTACAAAGAAGTTCTTAATATAACATATTCAAAAATACACTTAACTGAAATACGTTAATATACTTAAAATACATTCATGTACCTTCTGCAACACCATTAAATAAGCCTAGTGACAGTGTTCTTTGGTATTATGCAAACTATGGCAAAAACTTGCACTTTATCAGTTGAGTAGATTTTACTGAAGAACAACATAAAAACCAACCTGAAAATATATATAAAAAAGAAAACCCATAAAAAAGAACCTTAAACCATCACATTTCCTACCTGGACACTGATCAACCAAAAAAATCACCAAATTGCTTTTACTTTTGTCCCTTAACATCAAAAGTGACATTACTGAAAAGTCATTGTTTACATGTATTTTAAATTATTTTGTAACAACAATTTCAATAAACCTTTAGTTTTTAGGCTTTTAAGTTTAAGGTTACTTCAGTGCTTGCATACTGGTTTATGGAGATGTTACATCTCATTAGTCCAACTGTCTGCCAGTAACAGGAAGCTTCACCCATTAAATACCAGGTAGCTCTGAAGTGTAGCAGAAATGTTTACCAATTCAGCTTTTAGGCATAAAGATTCTGTCACAGCTCATAAAAACGAGAGCATTCCAGAGCAAAGCAAAGAGCCAGGCCAAAGAGCAGAGAAAGAGCAGCTTGTCTTTTCAAGATCACATACCTCAGGTACGTCAGTGATTTAATAGTTGATAACGGATCCAGTTCACCCTATGTAATGGGAACACAGTAAGTCCCTTTAGTAAAAAATCAAACAAAGTTCCTGAACTCATCTATTTTAAAGACCAATTAGAATTAGTAATTACTACTAATTAGGATTACTGCAATTAGTTTAACAGGAAATCCACTACGACTTTGTGACTGCTGTTCCAAGGCATGCTGCAAATTATGTTCATTACAATATGCACAACATTAACTACTACCAAGAGCGTATGACATTACTCTAAAGGAAAAGAACTAACTACTACCAGAAGTACATGACACTACTCTTGGGGAAAAGGTTAATTAGAATGATGGCAAACACAAAATTTAAGCTTGTTTCTATTTATCCTGCACCAATAACTTACCAGTTCAGCAATGTTGTTGTTGGTAAGAATGAGCTCCGTCAGGCAGGGCAGAGCCTGCTCAAGGTTTTCACCAATGCGACTAAAGAAAAACAAAAACCAAAGGTTTAACTTAGGCCAGAAATTAGCAATAGTGAAAAGACACACAGAAAAATGACAACAGAGAGGATCTCTCTGTAAAACAACCCAGTCCAACACTGGCAGGAGTTTGGGTGAGCACCCACTACAACACTTTTACTAATAAAGCTGGCAATAAATACCAGCCGTTGCTGTAAGACTACAAGATGCAGTATCAGATTTACAGTCATTTGCTTGCAGGTATTCCTGTTTTCTTGTCTTTATGGGGACTGTCTACTGAAATCCAAAGTTCCAGCCAAATTCCAAACTCTGCATCTCATTGTCCTGTCTAAAAAAAGAAGACTGACTTTTGCACTGAATGAGGCAGGAAAATCAAAGAGAACCTATACAGTTCGCAGTGCGGAGTTTTTTCTATAAACCAAACACTTCTACACTTACGCAGCACTGAAAGATGCACAAATACTCTCCCAAAAAGCATCTTCCTCTGCCCTGGGCCCCATCTGGCCTAAATACAACCACTTACCAAATCCTATTGTTATTCATCAGAAGAGTTTTCAGCCTCCTCAATAGAGGGAATCCATCCAGCTTCCGGATCTCATTGTCAGAGAAATCAATTGCATCGAATTGGTCCAGAGTGGCACCCAAGTTCTCAATAACAG